TGAGGACGGGTTGTGTCTGGCCGTCCGCTGGGACCCCTGTCCTCGCTGCGGGCAGGGAAGCCGGCCCCGTACAACACGGAACAGGAGGAGGCCCTGCAGTGCCCGCCCTCTGAGCCAGAGCCGGGGTCCTGCTCTCCGCCCAGGCTGGGACCTTGCGGGGTGCAGCCTCCTCACTGCCGGGCCCGGCTCAGGGGGTCAGCCGAGGACTGGGCTGACGCTTCCCGGGCGGGGGCTGGGGGGAGGCGGACGTGGCCCAGTCCCCACGAATGGGTGCGTGTGGGTGTGGGCGTTTGGGAAGGACATGTTCACAGGCTAAAAGTGTTCGGTCCCCGAAATACAGCGGCTGGGGCGCCAGACGTCTGGAGTGGGGGGCTGGGCCCGCAGGCTTTCGTGTCGAGCTCATGCGTCCAAAATATCGCGCCTCCTGAGGAGTCGCGGCTCGGCCAGAAGGCGCACGGGTTGTGCGTCCGGCTCCTTGTATTGGTCGTGGGAGCAGCTGGCCCCTGGGCGCGGCCCCGAGCACCGCCAAGTCCGCACCTGGGACTGCGTGCCGGTGGGCGGCGCGCCGTGGCCACAGAGGTGCGGATCTGGGGGCGGAGCACCCCACGTGCCCCGGAGCAGCGGGCGAGTCCAAGGGCTGACTCGGGGTGTGGAGCGTGACCTCGGCCAGCCCTGTCCCCAAGGCTGCTGTTGGCTCTCCAGACGCAAACACCCGCTGGGCCCCGCTGTGGGGCCACGCGCACCAGGCACGCGGCCTGGCCAGCCAGGAGCTCCTTGCACTCCACGGCCCACAGGCGGCGTCCCCACGCTCGGCCAGCAGACGTGGACACTCCGGGGGCACTGGAGCCTGGGGGGTGTGGAGATGCACACAGGATGGGCAGTGCAGCCAGGGGGACGGGAGGCTTGGGAGAGGCACAGTGCCCGCCTCGGGATCCCCACCGTGAATGCCCTGCTGCCCTCGCTCTGGCGCCCTGACAGCCTGGCACAGCCAGCCCCAGGGAGACTGTTGTCCCCCGGCCCCACGGGCCTCTCTGCACAGGCTCCGCAGCACTGCCCCGCCCTTCCCGCACTCAGCCGCCCCCCCGCCCGCCAGCCTGGTACCCGGGCTTTGGTGCTGCCCTGAAGCACCTGTTTGGGGCAGGGGGTGGAGCCATGGCCACGGGGCCCCTCTTCTCAGGGACCCTGCGGCTCCAGATCTCTGCCACCGTCCACCTGGTACCTCCCGGCGCCAGAAGCCGCGGCTGGCAGGAAGGAGCCGCCAGCCGGGGCCTGCGGTGCGTGCTCCTGGGACCCCTGGGCGCCCCTCCCTGTCCTGCCCGGGTCTGCCCCTGGCCACCCCTGCGGCCCCAGGCCCCGGGCAGGCACGGCAGGGGCTGGCCCTGGGCAGTCTAGTCTCTGGGGCTTCTGCCACCTCAGAACCTCCCGAGGAGCCGCCCTCGGCCCACCCTCAGGACGTGCTTCCGTGGGATGCCCCCCGAGACAGGTCTCACCCCGAGCCCCGCTCTCCATGCTGGGTCCGGCCTCCCGGGAGGGGCCGGGGAGGGAGAGTGCCTGAAGCAGCCCGAGCCGCCTGCCCCTGCGCAGCCTCCACTGCTGGGGCCGCCGCTGCTCCCTCCTGAACCAGGCCACGGGGGTCCCGGGGACACGCCCAGCACAGCGGCCTGCTGGAGGGGCACAGAGTGGAGGGGCAGCTGGAGTGTCACTGGTGGTCCTCCTCCTCCTCCTGGTCCCCGATCGGCCAGCAGCACAGCTGACACCCCTCGGGGGGTGGGCGGTGGACTGAGACCCGGGGGGGCAAAGCTTTGCTCTCCGACAGCTCCCGGCCAAGCTGGAGGGCACAGGGACCCCCTTCCCTGTGCCTGCCCCCAGGGTCCCCCAACATGGCTGCTTGGGAACTGTGCACCCCAGCTGCCGGGAGGCCCGGGGCACAGGGACGGCCCTGAGGTCACTGGGCTGGTCTCCCCACTCCCCTACGTGCACATGGGCCCTCGACACCCCCAGTCACTTCTGGTGGTCTCTGGAACACAGGGTCTCCGTGGGTTCACCCCGGCCGGGTGGTCCCAAGGGCCCGTGCTCACGGCGCAGGCCTTACTCCGCCTCCCCGGGGCCACACCGGACTGCGCGCCAGCCCCGGGGAGGGGTGGGCACAGCGTGTCCTGTGCCGACACCTTGCTCGGCCGAGGGCCGCCCCCGACCGGACACAGGCACGGGAGAGGAAGCTCGGCGACACCGATCGCCACCGAGATGCAGACGGAAACGTCATGAGGCGTCCCCTCACACCCGCCAGGATGGACGGACGTCAAGAAACCAACCCAGCGCTGGCCGGGACGGGGAGAGAGGGGGCCCTCGTGCACGGTGGGTGCGCGTGCAGACTGGTGCGGCCACTGTGGGAGGCAGTGTGAAGTTTCCTCAAAAATCACAGAGGGGTCTGCCCTTTGACCCAGCGATCCCACGTCTGGGCTCTTAGCCAGAGAAACTCAAAGCTCTAATTTGAAAAGATGTATATTTACCCCACGTTCACTCAAGCATTCTTGACGATGTCCACGATGTGGAAGCGCCCACGCGCCCACCGGTGGACTAGCCGGTTGAGGGGCCACGGTCCCTGTGTGCAATGGCCTGTCCCTCGGCCACAAAGAGGGACGAAATCTCGCCGTTCCTGGCGGGGTGGGTGGGCCGAGAGGGCGTGGGCTGTCGTGCTCCCTGAAGCAAGTCCGAGGAAGACAAACACCACAGGGCCTGACTTAAACGCGGAATTTATTTTTATTTTATTTTTTAAAAAATTTTTGAAGATTTTATTTATTTTTAGAGAGAGAGCGGGGTGGGGGGAGAGAGAAACATCAATGTGCGGTTGCTGGGGGCCATGGCCTGCAACCCAGGCATGTGCCCTGACTGGGAATCGAACCTGCGATGCTTTGGTTCGCAGCCCGCACTCCATCCACTGAGCTACTCCAGCCAGGGCGGAATTTATTTGTAAACGACAAAAGAAACAAACAAACAAACAGATGCAGATGCAAACAATAAGCCAAGGATCGTCAGCCCTGGCCAGGCGGCTGTCAGTTGGCGCGTGGTGGGTTCAGTCCCTGTGGTGGGTTCAGTCCCCAGTCGGGGCGCACGTGGGAAGCACCTGATTGGGTTGATTGATCTCTCTCTCTGTCAAGTCCATGAACGTGTCCTCAGGTCAGGGTTAACCCCAGGGGTTTCCGGAGGGGAGCAGGGCTGGGGGCCTGAGTGGAACGGACTGAGGAGGACGCGCCGGCAGCTGCAGAACAGCCACGCGGTCACGTGGAGCACGGCACAGGGGACAGGGGCGCTGCACCGTGCTGGAGCAGCCACGGCTGGTGTCGCCTGGACACGGGAAACAGCGCAGGGGCCGGTTTGTGAACCAAGCACGGCTGGACGCCAGGAAACACACACACACACACACACACACACACACACACACACACACAGCCACGCCTCTGCGTTGCCAGGACGAGCCAGCCTCGGACCGGCCTCGGAAGCCCCCCAGCCTGGGGCCCGCACGCCCACTGCCGCGCCACCACCCGCTCCCCCGCCCCCGCGCCCCGGGGCGCCGCCCAGTCACCCCCCACACTCCTGACGGCGAGGGGCTGCGAGGGCACGCGCTCTCCACCTTTGCGTGTGGGGAAAAGCTCCGTGTTTTGCCGTCCTTCGGAAGCTCTGCCGGAGAGAGTGCTCGTTGGGCGGCTTCCGACCTCAGCCCCCCCCACGGCGCCCCGCCCCCGCTGTCCCAGGGAAGCTGCTCGGGGGGCTGGGGGGCCGGGGGGGGGGGGCCCTCGGTGCGGGCCTCGCTCCGTGGGGCTCCGCTCTCCCGTTTGCCTTCCCTGGGACGTGGGTTTCACGCTGCTCCAGGAGCACTGACGTTCTCGGATCTGGGACCAAAATTCCCCCAAATGCGCGGTAGTTTCTGCCACTGGGTCTTCACTTGTGCTTCGGGTCCCTTCCTCCATTTCGTCCCCTGCCCGAGGCCGGCCGGCGGACCACGTGCGACTAGCGCCAGAGGCGGCCGGGACACCCCTGTGCACAGGTGTCCCTCCGCCCCGTCTGCAGGAAGGGGGCCTGGCCCGTGCTCCCCCCGGCCCTTGACCGGGGCCCACGCCCCACCTCCTCCCCTCCCCACGGCCTCGGGCACGGCCTGGCCTCCTCAGCGGGCCCCTCCTCCCTCTCCCCCTGCTGCACGCCCGCCCCCCCCTCCCGCTGCCCTCCCCCTCCGCCCACCTCCTGGCAGGACAGCCCTGGGCTGCGGCCCCCACACGTGCTCCCTCTTGTCTACGCCCGAGTCACGTCCCTCAATGACACGGGGGCGACAGCATGTCCCCCCCTCCTCGCAGGCCCTCTGGCAGCCCTGGGCACGCCCTGGGGTGCTCCGCGAGGTCAGTGGGAGCACCCGTCCCACCACCAGCAGGCCGACACACCACGCGACCACATGCAGAGAGGGACCCGGGCGCCACGTGGAAGGGCCGTCTGGGGTAACTCGGGACCGGACGGCCAGGGTTCCCGGGGGGGGGGGGGTCGCCCAACCAAGCCCCCGTCCCAGCTGAAGCAGGGGAAGATGCAGAGACGGGCTAGAGGTCGAAGAGGCGCGGGGAGGACAGCCGCGTCCACTCTCAGCTGACCGGGGGAGGCACAGCGGTGGCGGGCCAGCCCCTCTCTGCACAGCCGCGGTCGGAGGCCGGAGCCGGGCCCCGAGCCGAGAGGAGGCCGCAGCGCCGCCGGCCGGCCGGCACGCCACCCCGCAATCGTCGTCGGCTCGGCTCCCCTTCCCGGCCAGACCGCCAGGGACCACCGAGAGGGGTGGGGCCCGGGCGCTGAAGGCGTCCGGGGCCAGACAGGAGGCTCCCGACCGGGCGACCCCCGTCGGGGCAGTTCCGGGGAACCTACGCCCCCCCGCCCCCCCACCCTAGGGCCCGGCCGAGGCCAGAAAGCACCCACTCCGTGCTGGGCGGGGCCGTGCTCGGACAGAGAGAGGGGGTGCAGGAAACTGTTTTGTTTCGTATTTTATTACATCAATGGCTTGAAAATTTTTATTTAACTTCAGCAAATATTGGAAATAGAAAAATGAATTCTGCAGAATTTCACAAATAAATTTTCCAATCTCCACTAACAAATGTCATTACCCAGTGGCTAAGCAATTATAATGCTATGAACATTCACCATAATGAATGTACTGAGATAGAAAACAGGCAAAAAGAGACATTAAAATATTACTTACACAGCATTATTACAACATCTTCTCTTTAAAATCCCAGTGTGGATTTTACCACTCCAAAAGATATACAGCATTTCCATTATATTTGCAAACTTAACCTTATACATCTTTTAAAATCTTGAAAAAGTTTTAAGCAATCTAAAAAGCACTTAGCAAAGTTGATAAGTCTACATAATGGAACTCTCCGCTCCGGGACAGACCGCGGTTTCCAAGGTGACTGTAAACACTCGTTGCCAGGCGACATGCGCAGGCCGGGCCGCGTCCTCCGGACTGTCCCGCGGCCACGGCTGCGCTCCGCTCCGCGAGGGTTAGCGGCGGAGGCCCGGCCGCAGAGGGCGCCTGCGCGGAGCACGGCGCGAGGCCGCCCACGTGAGCGAACGTCCTGGAGTCAGTGGAGGCAAAGTCTCACCTGACGGTGAGAGCTCGAACCCTGGGTGGGCAGGTTTGGAAACGGGCTAGCAAGAGACAGCGAGGGTCCCGACTGGGTGGGCTCCGCCTTTCCTGTGCTCACGTAAGCAGGGGTCCAGTTAGTGTAATGCACTGTTCGGCTTGTTTTTGGTGTGCAGTTATACCAATGGTACATCTGATATTCAGACAAAAACAGGGACAGCTGAAATTTAAAGTGACAATGAGCACACTTACGATGGTGTGTGGCATTTGAGGAAACTTTATATACACAGAAAACAACTGCTTAATTAGTCCACCATAGTTAAGTTGCAGAACAACTAGTTTTTCATATTCATTTTTCGATAGGAGGTTTGCGACCATCAAAGGGTCTTACAGGTTAAAAACTGTCAAGAACCATTTCACGGAACTGGTGTCTTGGTCACGCACCCACGGAGACGGCGCCGTGGGGGTGCCGCACTGACCTCTGGCCCCCCACGCCGCTCATCTGTCGGCGCAGCGCGGGCAGGGCCGCTCTCTGGGTAGAAGAGCTACGTCGTGGGGTTGATCGCTGTTTCAAACCAGCCAACACAATATTCAAGTAACAAGGTATCTCGATGGATAAGTGAAAAAAATTTACCTAACACTTTACACATCTACATAAAATTAAATAAGACAAACTTTTAATGCATATGCAATACAATTTATATCTTTTAGGATTTCTAAACTAAAACTATCATTTGTTTCAATGGTACTATATTTTCCACAATAACTTATACTCAGGAGAAATTTTCCACAAAAATATATATATAATTATGACATTCACATTGATAATTCTTAAGAAGACAAAGCTTAAGTGAGCGTTGCATCCGAGGCAGTTGTCACCGTGGACCCTGACACATCCAAGCACGACCTGCTGACGCACCCAAGTCTTGATATGTTTAAAAGGGTCTTCGCACAAATAAGACCAGATCGCTTCACTTTTAAAGCAAAGTGATTTCTTGCATTTCCAACATCATTGCAAAGACAGCGTAATGGAACGGTGGAAAACACAGTGCTACCGTGTGCGTGAGACCACAGCGAAGGCGGGCGGGCAAGGACGGCCGTCTCTCCTCCTCCTGGCGCAGGGAAACGACGCGCCCCTCTCCCCCGAAGAGCGCCCGGGCAGCTGCCGCGCCGGCGAGAAGACCAGCCCAGGGCGTCTCCGGGACCCAAGGGCGTGTGGTGCCAGGAAGCAAGGGCGGGTGGTGCAGAGCAGACAGGCCTGGCGCTGCGGCGTGCCCACCACGCGGCAGGAGGACCAGGACAAGCTCCCCAGCGCTGCCAGAAGGGATCGGCGGTTCTTAAGGAAAACAGCCTGGGCGGGAGGAGAGGAACAGACCGACCGGCGGAGGGAGAACCCCTGCAGGAGACAGCCTCCTGCTTCTGCGAAGAGGAAGGCGGCCACGAGGAGGAGGAAGGAACGACTCAAGTTTCTTCTGTTCACGCCTAGGGTCCCCTAGCAGCGATGTGCAAAACGCAGGCCCGCTCCTGCCCGTGTGCTCCGCCGCCTGCGACCACGCCACGGGCTCACGCCGCCAGGAACGCCGAGGCTCGGCGCGCCCTAGTGTTCTTCTGCCCCCGCCCACGCGGGACCGTGAGCCGTGACTGCCCTCTGCCCGCCTCCCCCTCTTGCCTGGCCCCCAGACACCCGGAGCAGGGACGAGACGCCGCCAGCGGGGAAGTCCCCTCTTCCTCCCTTCTTCTGAATGACCTTTGTCTCCATTCCCAACAAACACATCCAATTCCCAAAAACCGGTGATTTCAGCCAACCCTCTTTCTAAAGAGAAAGTCAGCTGACTTAAAAAAAAAAAAAAAAAAAAGCAAGGTGCTTGAGAGTCAAAACACATCGAATTTTAGTTGCATATTTTAAGTTCTTAAGAATTCTGTTTATGCCGCCTTAAAGCATCTGCATCTTTTTTCTTTTTGGTATTGAAAGCAGGAGAAACATTTAAATGATGCAAAAACGAAACAAAAAGCTCCTTTAGCCTGTTTGGTGCAGGCCGAGCCAACTGTGGGCAGGGAATGGGCGACGTCAGGTCCCGGTGGCCGGTCCGACCCTGCCAGCCCTCGGCAGGCCCACGGTCTGCCGAGAGGAGAGAAGTGACTCTGGAAGTCTCCGGGTGTGGATGAGACGCTTCCCTTGTCCCCCGTCCGGCCAGAAGGCAGCACACGCCACTCTGAGGACTGTCCCTCCCCGTCTTGCCCCTCCAGAACCCGCAGAGTGCACTGCTCGGGCCTGTACTGTGCCGTGGAGAGAGAGGGCGGTGCTGCGGTCCCCCCGGGACGCGCAGGACCGAGGGGTGTGTGGAGTGACCTGTGGAAGGCCAGGCGGGACGGGGACAACGTGCACTCTGGAAAGCCCCGCCAGCTGGCCTGCTGCCCCGTGTCCAGCGAGCCTGACACCTAGCGTCTGCACGGTCGGGGTCTGCGGCGAGCCCCCCACCCCGGCCCCGGCGGCGGCGTCTTTGGCAAGCAGTGGACGGCAGAGAAGAAATGAGACACTGGAACAGAAACAGGACGGAGAACGTGGCTGCCAGAGGGAGAAGGCACCAATTCCAAATGTACAAGCACCAGGTACAGTGGTACGGACCAGATCTCTTGGAGTCGGGTGGTGGAGGTGGGGACCGGGACTCGGGGGTGGGGGGCAGGCGCCCACCCGGGGGCTGCAGCGCCGAGAGCCGAAGGCAGGAAGCGCCGAGGTCCACGTCCCGCTGGCTGCGTGTCCAGAGCGCGCTGCTGCGCACCAGCGCCTACCGACTGGGGGGGGCGAGGGGGGCTCGGCTAACCGGGTTTACGGACCACAGTCTCACCCTCCTGTCAGGGAGAGGAGGGTTGGATCAGGGTGTTTGGCACAATGAAGGTTATAATGCAGTCTGCCAGTATACTGTGATTTCCAAAAAAGCATGATCTCGCTTAGGTGGATGCCTCAGGAAAGAACAAGAGAAACTTCTAGAAGGCCAGCAGGGTCGCAGTCACTCTGGGAATGACGTTATGCACAAAGTAGGAGCCGCAGGCCATGCAGGAGCAGCGTCGTGCCTTCTGGGTGGGCCGCCTGCTCTGGGGCTGCTGACGGGAAGAGCTGCCACCGGTGGGCTCTGGCGTTCCACCCGGGGGGGCGGCCCCCAGGCTCAGGCGCGTGCGGGCCAGTGACCCCTGCCCCGGCACGCACGCAGACGGGGAGATGCACGGAGCTCTCCGGGGAGTGGCGCCGACACAGAGGAACGAGCGAAGATTTAAGGCAGATGCAGCACAGGACCGGAAGTGTATGCCTTTTTTGGTTATAGCTGCTTGTCCACAGAGATGGGATGCAGATGGCTAGGTGATGTCTGGTAATACCTGATACCCTGGGTGACACAGTCATCCATACCAAGTGCTGGAGCCACCGGAGCTTCTCAGGAGGCAGATGCGTATCTGACGTCAAGGACGGAAGCAGCCTGAAGAAGGGAGAAGACACAAGAATCAAAGGGCAGGAAACACCACAGGCCTGGTGTTCTGCAGGTGGGAGGGGGCGGGCCTGCCCCGGCAGGCCAACACGCGGCACAGCACACGGACGGGTTCTGCAGGCAGCGGGGGGAGGGGGCTGTGCTGAGACAGCGCGTGGCCTCTGCACCAGACGTGCTGGGCTCCGACCCCGGCTCTGCCGCTGCCCAGCTGTGCAGACTCGCGTAAGTCACTCTCTCTGAACTCCCCTCCCCTCTTCTGCAGAATGTGCACAACAGTGGTGTCTACTGCACAGGAGTAGATAAAGCCCCTGAAAGGGCAGCTGGCACATCCTTGGCAAACAGTCGTGCTCAGGGACACCAGCGCCGGCTGGAGGGGCTGCCATGCAACTGCCCGAGCCGACAAGCAGCGCCGGTGCGGCCGGGACACAGGGGCCCTGAGACCCCTGAGACGGCGGGATCTTCTGTAAAAGCTTCCCAGGCATGTCTTAATTTTCCACCTTCGTTTTCAAACCCAGATCCCAGACCCAAACCTAAAGGTCAGGCACGTCTCAGCTCAAACCCCTGGGCTCCGGGCTCCCTCAGGTGAACCCGGCTCGCAGAAACCGCTGCACAGCGCAGACCAGGACCCTCCTCGGCGGCGCACGGAACCGACCCCCACCTGTGACTAGTGCCCCCTCCGGCCGGTCAGCTTCTGCCTGAGCCCCCCAGCCCAGCCCCACCCCCGGCCCTGCAGGAAAGAGCAGGTCTACGTCCTTCGCCTGCAGGGAAGACGAGACGCCTGGGGACTCCCCACTCTCGCCTCTGCGATCAGCCTGTGGTGAACCGGCGCCGACTGGAGTCTTCGCAGAGCCTCTTGGGGTGTTACGTGAGGACTCCCCACAACGGGACCTCTGGCGCCCTGGGGCCCCCTCCCCATCCGTGCGGCACCAACACAGACTCTGAGGGCAAGGGGCAGGCCGGGCCCTGCACACAGCCTGCTCGGCCGCCGGACCCCCTGAAAGGAACATGAGTGTGGAACCTCGAGGACCCCACGCCCTGCGCAGGGATGGGGCCAAGAGCCGGCCGGCACTCCAGCAGCTGCGGTCGGGCACAGAGAGGCAGCCGGCCGCGCAGTCAAGCTCCTTCTGCACTTGGGGAACGGAAAACCGGGGGGTGGCGCGGGTGGGCTTGTGCTGTAAGCAGCAGGGAGAGAGATGGACTAGAAAGGGAGATCCGGGCGTGCGTGTGGACGGCGTTTTCTAAAATGCGTTCATTAGAGAGAGAGGGAGGGAGAGAGAAGGAGAGAGAGAGAGGGAGAGGGAGGGAGAGAGAAAGAGGGGGGGGAGGAGAGGGGGGGGAGAGAGGGGGGGAGCGAGTGGGGGAGAGAGAGGGGGGGAGAGAGAGAGAGGGAGAGAGGGAGAGAGAGGGAGAGGGAGAGGGAGAGGGAGAGGGAGAGGGGGGCATCAGCCTCTCAGCCCCGCTGAGCTCCGCGCCCGCGGTCGGCCCTCGTGCATGCCGCAGCCCCCGGGTGTCGCCGGGGCGGCGCTCCTTGCAGCCGAGCCACCCAGCCAGGGCCGCGCGCGCTTTAAGTGGCGAGAAAGGAGAACGGCTTCTCAGGAAGCATGAAGACTGGACACAGACGGCGCCCCTCTTCCTGGAGAGTGGACACGCGGAAGGCCGGCCTCCAAGGAGAAGCGCAGCCCCGCTGCTGGGGGTGCCGACACCAGCGGTGGCGGAGAGAGTCCTGTGGGCGCGGTGGCGGGGAACCGGCACGGGGCACGGGCCGAGCTGACCGGCACTAAGGACGGACCTTCTGGGCTGACCAGAAAGAGAGAGAAAGGAGCGGACGGATCCGAGCTGTCTGTGCGCGAACCAGAAACAAGAGGCGAAGGAAAGTCGGAGCACCAGGACGGACGCCCTGAACTGCCAGCCCGGTGGCGGCGGCGGCGGCGGCGCAGAGGGGAGGGAGCGGCGCCCTGTCCTCCCTGCTCCCAGGGCCGACGGCAGAGAGCGCTCTTTCCTGCAGGCTTCTGCTGCCCTGCCCACGGGCACCCCCCCTTCTACTGCTTCCTAAACAGCGTCCGGGACTTGGGGACGTCCGTTCGCCGCGACCGGGGCCCGAGACCAGGACTCGCGCATTCTGCCGCTGTGCCCGCGTGCCCCAGGGCTGCAGGCGGGCCCACCCACGCTGGCGATGCCACAGATGTTGCACACCTGCCACAAAGATTCTGTTCCGGCAGAAGGCTCCAGAACGTCTGATTCTAACACAGTCGGTACGTCCCAGCACTCTCTGGCCAGTGGGCGCCCCCACGCTCAGGCCGGCCGGGGTCTCCGAGGGGCGCCCGGAGCGGAGAACCAGGCACCTCAGTCACTCCCACGTGGCCGCTGGAAGGCTCAGGTGGGAAAGTGACTTCCCTCGTAAAGCTAAGTGGAGCTGTAAGTTCCCGTGTCAGTGAACAGCGCAAACACAGGGTGACAGCAATGAACTCTTCCCCGGGCCCAGCCCCCCCACTCCTCTGTACGAGCGAGGGGCGGCTGTGCAGCCGGGTGGGCCAGGCGACACGTGGGCAACGGCCCTGTCACAGGAGGCAGCGTGGTGACAGATGGAGCCCTGCAGCCTCAGCAGGCCTCCTGCCTGATCTCCACTGACTGGGCTCATGGAATCGGGGCCACCGTCCTGGGAGCTCCAGCCAACCACGTCACCAGGACTGTCCCCATCAACCTCCAAGTTCTGAACAGCACCGACGGCTGGAAGACGCAGACAGCAGAGCCAGGCCAGGAGCCCCGGCTGGCCGGCCGTGCAGACTCACCAGGAAGTTTGTCGGCCTCACCGTGAGATGACCACACACCCGACAGGACTAGCTCTGTCAACGCTCCCCAGGCGCCTCCCACGCACTGCCCCGCAGCAGAGCTGTGACCGCAGGTAAAGAAGTGCATGCATTCTGCGGCTGCAGGAACCCGGGTGAAACTGGGACTGTGTCCAGGGATTCAAAGGGGAGCCCCCCACATACATGACACACAATTAAATGAGCTCAACACACGGATCTGCAGGCAGAAGTCGAGTTCCCGACGGAGCAAAAGCGCAGAAACCGGCCCGCCGCCGCACCAGCTCACCCCCGAGGACGCCCCGGGGACGGGGGCGCCCGCCTGGCGGGGGGTGGGGAGAGCCGCACGCCCGACTCACCTCGTCGTCCTCGTCGGAGACCTTGATGGGGTGCTCCGGGCTCTTGACGGGCTTCTGGCCGCCGGGCCCGTTGCTCTCCTCCTTCCCGTGCTCCGCCTCCCACTCCTGTAAAACCTCGTCTATGTTGAAGCGACGTCGGTAATTTACAAAAAAGTTCTTCACTTGTACCACCGACTTGTTCCCGATCACATCTGAGATGGCCTGAAAATCACGGCCGTACTTCCTGATGGCTGCGGACACAGGAGAGCGTTCGTTCACTCGAGAGAAAGCCAAAGAGAAGACACGCAACCGAGCCTGACTCGCGTCCAGGGAAGGCGGGGTGCAGGCCCGCAAGAGCGGCGCGCCCTCAGTGCGCTGGACCAGAGGGGAAGGGGAGCCCGGGTACACCCTGTAGACGGCGACCGGAGTCCGGGGGACCCCGTCACCTGGAGATCGGCACCTTGTCCTCAGACGTCACGTGGAAACTGAAATCATCCAGCACTCATTCCACGGCTGTGGGCATTCTGCACCTGTCTTTTCAGGGTCCCCAGGACTAGAACACCCCCAAATCCAACACTCGGTCTGCTGTCGGGGTTGTGTACTTCCTGACGATTCAACACCCAACCCAACGCACGGCTGCTAAAGTGAATCACTCACACCTTTAAACCGGCACGCTAATTTTTACAACTCGTGAGGCCCAGGAAGGGAAAGAGCCAAGCCCACGGGTAACGCCGGAGGGCGGCTGAGTGCCGTCCGCCGTGAGAACTCAGTCCTCCCAGAATCTTCGTCGGCCGGGGGCGCCGTGCTGCGCGCGGGGGGGGACCCCCGCCTCTTGACGGCTCGGGGGGAGGACCTCACCGTACCTTGTACTGCAAGGAGCTGCTCCTCTGTGGTCCAGCGCGCGTTACTCTTCTGGGTGACCTGTGTGTCCAAATGAGCCACGTTAACACACCATACGTCCTTATTAGAGCTAACCAATCTTCCTCTCGTATCAGAGTTTTAACATCAACTAGCTTTATAAAACTCCGCTCACACTTTTCTCTCTAATAGGTGTGCCCTGGGTATTACGTGGATATTGCACTCAAACACAGAACACCGGGCTATGACTCTGAGACGATGCTAACGTGGTCATACCTCTGGAAGTCGGTGCGGCTCTATTCCACCATCGAGTTTTTCTTTGAGAGCACTGTTTGTCTGCTTAATATTCTGAATCTAAAAGAGAAAAGATTTTTATTTTACAAATGAAACAATAGCCCTGGCTGGTGTGGCTCAGTGGACTGAGTGACGGCCTGTGAACCAAAGGGTCACTGGTTCAATTCCCGGTCAGGGCACATGCCTGGGTTGTGGGCCAGGTCCCCAGTAGGGGGCGTGCGAGAGACAACCACCCATTGATGTTTCTCTCCCTCTCTTTCTCGCTCCCTTCCTGTCTAAAAATGAAATAAATAAAATCTTAAAAAACAAAGACGTCAAAAAGAAAATGAAACACTGCGAGGTGCGGCGTGGTGGGCCAGTCCGCAGGGTCGTGGGCGGCACCCCCTCCTGTGAGCGCCAGCGTGGGGCCGCCCCTCCCTGAGCTCCTCGGCGTGCTCTGTGCTGCGCGCCCGCAGGGGGAGCGGCGAGAAAGCGATCTGACTCCAGGGAAGCACCTGAGGCAAGGGTCAGTGACCCTGGAGAGAAACTGGTCGTGCCTGCTGGCTCCCAAAGCACCCACGTACTATGACAGGAAAAGTGGACCGAGTCACGGACACTAAGAAGCCTGTGCTGACCAGCAGCTCTGAAGAGAGAGGACGGTCCAGGGGACAGAAAGCGAGGGCTGGAACTTCCACCGGATGGGCGTGCAGACCGTCCGAAACGTCTTCAGTGTCAAAAACGGCTGCTGGCTCTCCTGTGATCAGACAGTCAATTTTCCCGAACCCGTGTGAACTGATCTAGGAGGACCTGACAGCGGGGAGTACTGACCGGTATCGGGAAGAGCTGGAGGCAGAAAGGAGGCCTCGGCAGAAAAGGGTGCGGCTGGAAAATACCTCTGCCTGCAGCCTGTCCCGGTCGCCTCCAGGCCGCTGCCGACGGCAGCCTGCTCGCAGAGGAGCTCAGGAAAAGCCCCCGCAGCCCCCAGAGCACGAAACCTCGCGGCGAAGCCCGGGGTAAAGGCATCTTTCTGGTCCACCAAGTCTCACAAACCACAGAGTGGTCCTGGGACAGCCAAATGTCTCTGTGTGTGACCCAGTCCACTAAGGACGCCTGCACGATCTCCCTCTGTCATCAGTACCCGTTGCTCATTGCCAGAAGGACGTTCAGCCCGAGCTTGTGAGTCCTGGTGTCGCCGTACCACCTGCCGCGCCGACAGGTGTAAGCTTGGATTTTGCCGCCTCCGCACAGCAGAGCACAGCCCCGGCTCCCGCGAGCCGGACGTCAGGCGTGCTCCCTCATGCACACTGCCCTTCGGCAGCACGGGGGCCTGCGACCACGTCCGCGGGGGGAGGGGCCTGTGAGCAGCAACCTGCGGCGGTGCCTGCAGAGTACCCAGGGCGAGGAGGTGACAGCAAGCTGCCGGAGAGAGTTCCAACGGACCACGGCGGGGTCGCCAAGGCCGTGGCGCCGGGGAGGAACAGAGACAGGAGCTGGAGTGTGGCAGCTCTGTCGTCACCGCAGATGACAGGCTGAAGCCCTGGCTGACTGCAGTTAACGAGCCCCCACCGCCCCCTCCACACCACCAACCTCCACACCCTCGAGTGTGACCCGACTGACCACACTCGCCACAGCACGTCGCCAGTGGAGGGATTCCGGGCTCTAAATGGGACACGCCACCCACAGAAAGTTCCTGGAGACGGTGAAATCCCCTGCGACCAAGAGCTGGTGCGGGGTGACGGTGCTGACCGAGAGCTGGCAAGTCCTCCGGCCAGCCGACGGGGCCCAGAGGAGGCTGGCTGAGAGAGTCAGGGAGAACCGTCCTCACCCCCTGGAAGTGACCCCCAGTGAGAGCAAGAGTCTGGCCTGGGCCCACCGCCCACCTGACTCGGGCCTCACTGAGACCTATTTTGAAATTTCCTTTTTCCAGGGCTTTTTTCCTTTCCTAAGCCCTGGAAATAAATACAGGCTCTTCTTTGGACGATTAAAGCAATGAAAAACCTTTATAAAGGTATGAGAAGAAAACAAGTAAATAAACTAAGGGAAATAAAAACACCAAGAGCAAAGATGCTCCAATCTACAGGGTACCGAGAACTGGAGGTCTCCACTGTCTCCTTTACGAGCATCTAACTGGACTCTTCTGTTGACCTGCTTAGAACCACCAGCAAGAGACAGCCCAGAAGGAGGGGGTGGTGGCAAAGAGGTTCGGTGTGCACAGCCCCCCCCCCCAATATCATGACAGCGACCCCCACACAGAACACAGGCCCCGCCCACAGAGCCCAGCGGAGCCGAGAGGCGGAGCAGGCGGGAGAGGCCCAGCTGCCCAGCAGGACCGCAAGGCGCGGTGCCCAAGGCCCGCACTGCCGTCGGGCTCCACACCGACCACACAGCGTAGATGCCCAGGGGCCTTCATGGGAGGAGAAGCAGGCGGCGTGTCTGTTCTCCACAAGCCTAATCCCGATCAGCTGCCGTGTCTTCATTTTCTCACAGATTGTCTTTCCCACACACCTGCTGTGACTCACTGCGCCTCACCGTTCAGCCCCCTGCCTGGCCCACAGACAGACGCGAGCACGCCACTGCTGCTCCCGAACCCTGCACGGCCCCTGGACAAGCGGGGCCGGGGTGGGGGGGCTCCTTCCCTGGCCCTCAGGAGCAGGGCGTCTCTGTGCCAAGCACTGGGGGCACTCGACCCTTAGCACTTTTCGTTTTTGAATGAACACGTGCATTGTCTCCCTAAAATCAATTTTAAAGGCACAAAATTAAACAAATGACTGTAAGGCAAAACATCCACACATTCTGAGCTGAAGGTCAGCTCTAACCTCACCAATCTCCCCTCTGTTTCTGACGCATTTTCCCCAGTAGAAACACCCAGTGCTCACTCATGCAAGAATGAGGGTAGTTGCCAGCTTAATACCAATTGGAAAGAAAGCCAGAGTGGCAACAAGCCAGAAAAGAAACGGGACACACGAAAATAATCGGCATTTAAAGGATTACAAAAAAGGCCGTCGAGGTGGCCGGGTGCCTCCCGTGGCCCTCCTGGTCGCACACGACCACCTCTCTCCGGCTGGGCGGTGTGTCCGGTGAGTCTTCCCTGACGTCAGACCGCCCCACTCCGCACTCAGAAAGACCCAAGGCCTCGGGCTGCCCTGGCCGGTCACCTGACGCTCCCAGCCCCTCACAGGTCCACGCGGCCGTGCTGCGAAGCCCTGGCGTGCAGAAAGTCTGGGAGTTTCTGGCGGAGCAGAAAGGGCGGGGAGGGGGCGCAGTCTGGCCTGCACCTCCTGGTCTCACGGCCCTGAATGCAGAATGAGGGCCACGAAGCGGCTCCCGCAGCTTCCGGAGTGGCAGGTGCACGAGCGAGGTGGGAGGCCGATCAGGGGAGGGTGCCGAGGGGAACCAGGGCATCAGGCCCAGGAGCACCGCCGGACAGGTACGCCAACGCCGTCCCACCGGCGGTGGGGCTCCTGGCTACGGGATAAAGACAAGCCCCGTCTGTCTGAGCTGTTACGACCCGGGTTTTCTGTCACTCCCAGGCGAACAGCCCCTCCACAACCAAACGTCACTGTGTCGCTGACTGTTACTTCAGGTCCAGACCGCAGCCGGCAGGAGCCCTGAAAGGCCGTGGGACGCGGACGACTGGCCCCCCTGGCCCAGGCGGCGGGCTCGAAGGCTCCTCTCCTCCACAGCGCGGACTTCAAGAAGCCATCTCCAAGTGAAAATCGCCTGCTCCTGGTCCGGGCTCTGGAAACCAGAGAGTCTCTCCGTAGCTATCTTACGGCACAGCCAGGAACGGCTCTGGAGGAGAAGGGTCTCTTTCTCTCTCCCGGCCCTCAAGCAGCCAGCCTCAGGGGTACACGCGGCAGAGGGCGCCGAGTCCCCTGGCAGAGGGAGAGGAGAAGGCTCCGCTCCCAGGGCTCACAGCCCTGATGGGAGCGAGCCCTCCCGGCGCAGACACAGCTCCGGCGGTGTGCTCCCGCAGCGGCCCCCACCGGTCCTGGGAGGCCAGCGGGCCAGGATTAATCCCCTCGTTTGAAAGCAGCCCCGGGAAGATTAAGCGATTCTCCCAAGATTAGAGGGCAGCTGTGCCAGCAAGCCAGGACCAGCAGCCAATGCTCGGGCTCTGCGAGGCCGCCTGGTCCCGGTCTGTGCTGTCTCCCTGCACCGGCCGGCCCGTGACCCACTCTTTCCATCGCTGAAATGACAGTTGGCCTTGTGGTTCACCTTCCAAGGGAAGCACCAAGATCCACAAGTCAAAGCAGCAAAAACTAGAAGTAAACCATCAGTCCACAGTCTGCCTTGAATTCCGGAGGGAGGGAGAGGATCCTGACACATGGAGGGACAACACTAGGGTACTCAGAATTTTCATTCTCAATGTACTATGCAAAATTAAAGAGCAAAACAAGCCATTTTTCATACTAGCCATAAACAAGCAGAAACGAATTACTTTAAAAAACAACATCCTTTACAAGGACATCAAAAAGCACCGAATACCCAGGGCTAACTCTAACGAAGGATATGCAAGACCTGTGCTTAGGAAACAAGACAGAGACAGCAAATAGCTCTGCAAGTGTGGGGGGGTGGGGGGGGTGGATCATTTCATGGGTCAGAAGACGTTAATTCTTTATTTTGAGCTATAAATTCAATACAATCCCAATCAACATTCTAGCAGAACTGTTTTTCTGGAAATTGAGGAAGTGATTCTAAATTTTACCCGGAACGACAGAGGGCCACGAAGAGCCAGACAACCGAGAAGCACTCACTGCACGAGACAGGTGTGTGGTGTTCCTACAGTGGACGTGCACACTGGGGAAGAGCTTGTCCATGCTCGGACAGACGGACCTCGGGAAATGACTGGGAACCCCGAACCTGACCATACGCGTGGACAACGGATTAAAAACAAAGGCCCCACACGTCACTAGATATCCACATAAAAAAACAATCAAACAGATAATGACCCCACATGTAACAACAGACACAGAAACACACTTCCAGGTAGACTGAAGATCAAGGTGTAAAAGGCAAAACAACATTGGGATCACGCGGCAGAGTATCTCATGACCTGAAGGAACGTCCTTAATGGAATTCAAGGGGCACTAACCACAGCCCTGGCTGGCGTGGCTCCGTGGACTGAGCGCCGGCCTGGGAACCAAGGGGTCAGTGATTCGATTCCCAGTCAGGGCCCGTGCTTGGGCCGCGGGCCAGGTTCCCAGCAAGGGGTACCCACATTGATGTTTCTCTCCCTGTCTTTCTCCCTCCCTTCCCCCTCTCTAAAAATGAATAAATAAAATCCTAAAAAAAATTTTTTTGAAGAAAAAAAAAGCACTAACCACAAGAGATAAGAATGAGAAACTGGAGTTCCTTAAAACTAAGATTTTCTATTCACCAAAGACACCATTAGCAGAGTGAAAAGACAAGCCTCCAACGGGAAGGGGGCACTCTGTGTCCCCCTTCTTCGGGGGACCTTCACAATGCCTGGGCGCCCTTCTGTTACCACGGCTGGAGGGGGCAGGGCGCTAGCAGCACCCGGCAGGTAAAGCCCAGAAATGCTGGTAAGGCTCTCACAATGCACAGGACCACTCCCCACAAAGAAGTATGAGAACCTGGCACAGTGCAACTGAACTTGGCTGGCCCGACGACGCTTTGGACACCTGGGTGGCACTGCTCTCTAAGGCGGGACACAGGCACACTCCCAATCCAGCAACTCCACTCTCGGCACAGACCCAACAAGGGCGCACGGACAGTGCACCGCGGGTCATGTGAACGTGCTCGTGTCAGTATGATTGGTGATGGCCACAAGTGGGGAGGAACCCAAATGTGCACTTGGTAGGACATGCACACAGCAGTGAGAAGGAACAAGAACTGTGGCTCTATACTGCACGGATGGATCTCACGTGCTGAGTGGAATGTGGACACGAGAGAGACCGCCCCGTGTCACTGTTATGTGACATCCCAGAACGGGCAACAGCAGCCCGCGGCTGTACAAGCCGGAGCAGCGGCCGCCACCCGGAGAGGGCAGGGGCGGTGCGTCTGCGGAGGCGGAGGCGCTGCGCTCCGAGAGCCGCCGACTGGAGGGCCGGCGCTGCCTTCCTGATGCACGAGAGGGGTCAGCGGTGCGTGTCCGCAGTGTGAAAAGCGGTGAGCGTGCACACGCACCATTTACATGCACACACTCATAACATCAACTCCCGACTGAACTGAAGGAAAATCCACGGCCAGGAATAAGACCTTCTGTCGGTTTCCTCGGAAACCAAACGCCCTCTGGAGATCAGTGGACAGACGGCAGAAACACCTCTGGAGGACTTTAGCCGGGACGGGCTGCGGGTACCTGTCGCTTGATGGACACCAACTCCATGTCCAGCTGTCTCAGCACCGTGGTGGCAGCAGTGGCGTTGGCAGACACGGCCTCCACATCTTCTTGAGAAAGAAACATCCCTTTTGGAGGTTTCCTTTTTGCTCTGTTTTTAGCTTGAGTACTATGCTTTTCTTTCTTGATCTGAGGAACTGTCTCAGTAGGGGGCACCTGCATGATACATGTATTTTGATAAATGAGATGTTAAAAGAATTAAAATGGCAAGTGAACAGTAATAAGCATGATTTCCCTAACATGGCCCCACACAATCTAAGACACACACCAGGCTACATCATAAGGACCATCACAAATCCTAACAGGTGTGTCACGGACAGAAACATCGGCTACTGAGTTTTGGCTAAGCACTCGGCAGTGGGCCGCCGCACTCCCTTCTGGCACAGACACACCCGACTGTCCCCCCCTCTCCACCTGGGACAGAGCCTGTCTCAGCTCCCAGCAGTAGCACAGGAAGGAACAACTCTGCACTCTTCTGCTGGGCTGGACATGTACGTGAATAAGGAGCTATTTCATCCTAACAGTCTCTAGTGATACAGACGGACATATGAACACAGAAGGAAGGAAAAAAAAAAGAAACAATTCAGTACATGTATAAAGATTCATTTAAATTCTTCACATATTTATCGGAGTTTTAAAAAAATGTAAATTCAGTATGACACTATATATGCTGTCATTTTAAATGCATGACTACTGCTAATTTTTTAAAGGTGCTTTTTCTAAATCTAAAGCCTCCAGAAATGAATGCAGTGAAATCTTGGCGAGGAAAGATTAACATTTTACTGGTACCCATTTTAGGAACAAGTTTAGGAAATTGTTCGTAATCTCATCTCGTTAAGAGCATTAACAAGAGTACCAGCAAATGCCGATAAAGCTGAAAGTGCGCTCAGGCTCTCTGCCTCCTGCTTCGACAGACCCGCAGACCGAGCTAAAAAGCCCGAAACCCTGAGGGCGGCAGCAAGCCCCGCCCCAGCGCTGGTGCGGGGACGGACCAGTGCCTCGGGCAGGCGGCGGGCGGGGAACGAGGCACTGTGCCAGCTGCCGGGTTCAGTCCGGACCACCTGCCGGCGATGGGCCAGGTTTAGGGACTATGGCTCAGGGTGTAAAAAAATGATAGTTTAACCATTTTTCTTCTGCAATCGGAAATTGGTGGGGGAAAGTGGTGGTGGGAAAATGGAGACAACTATACTTGAACAACAATTAAAAAAAAAACAAGAAGGCAGTTGAAAGAGTAGGGGAAAAAACAAAAGAAATTAAGCTATACAAATAAGTACAGAAACTAATATAAAATAAATCCTTTTCTTTCATCTGAAATATTCCACTGAAGAAGCTAATAGGCAAAAACAAAACAAAACAAAAAAACAATAAAAAACTACTAAAAAACCCCCCATAAATCGCAGAAAAAAAAAGAACCTAGAAGACAATACATCAAAACAAAGCTTACTAAAAATGACAAGTATAATTTAGTTTCCAAAACAATCTTAATTCAGCCAACCCTTAAAACAATCTTGGTATCTGGACTTTCTTACAAATCAGTGGCAAAAGTGCCACGAAGAAAGAACAACTAGGTTCTTATTGGTGATACATTCTGTACCTTCCAAATGTATCTAGAACGCTCTGACCCAACATTCAACTTCGAGAAATTAACTCTGGTGGAAAAAAGGAAATGCACAGATACTTAGTTACGAGATCAGCCTTCCAGCATTGTTCATGAAAGCAAAAGGCAGGGGCAGAAGACTGTAAAGACCCACAGAAGGTGAGTTCACTCAATTACAAAAGACTTGCGTGACGGAGTAACATACAGCTGTGTATGCAAGTGTATTTGTCATCAAATATGTTCGAGGTAAATTTGAAAGGTTATAAAATTTTGTATGTATATTAAGACTCCATTTCATACTGTTCTAAAAATAAGTATGTATTCAGAATCACGGACACAGACGTGTATTTTTCACAGAGGATGTGTCCTGGAAGGAGTCACCACGAAGTTCAGTGACTGTGTGTGTAAAAGGTTTCATTTTCCCCTTTTGGGTTAGCTGCACTTTGTCTATAAAAAGCGTGTAGTATTGATGTAATTTAAAGTTCATGTATGCCTACACCATTTGGTGTTCCCATGCTTAAAGTAGCTGTTCTCATGCTCTGGAACCTTTTGAGACAGAGCGCCCCGGGGATTTTACTAAAACTGCAGACTCCGCGCTTACACAACCTCTGGCACGGCCACACAGAGAAGTCGTCTCCGCAACGGAGTCGACACTCCAGCCCGGCTGAGGAGCCGCGGGTGCAGAGGCGCTCCGGAACCCTGTCCCCTGGCTCCCGCGGGGCAGCCCAGGCCTGCGGCGGGCGGTGCTGAGCTGTGCGGTTTCTGACCTGAGCCCTGGAACCCTGGGTCTCCTCGGAGGGCACTCGGGGTCTCACCTCCGCTTGACTCGATGTTGTGAACGGACACAATAATGCAAGACCGCAACTGCCTTTTCAAGAGGCTAAGATCATCCTAACACCCCACTGTTCCCTGTGGGCAGTTCACAGAGTCACCCACAACTGTGAGGATTCACAGGTGCCCTGCACCTGGACACTAAAAACCCCCAACGCCCCTGGACGACCTGCGTGGCTGTCTCTGAGTGAGCAGAGGACCTGCGCTGCGGCCCTGCCAGCCCCCTGGGGTCGCCTGCCGAGCCCGTGCGTGGGGAGCCCTGGGCCAGCGACAGCCTGGAAGGGGCCACACGGCCGAGGGGGGAGCCTCGCTCTGGCCTGGGCGCACCACCGCGGCTTCGTCACCACCTGAGCAGGCCGCTCGGGAAGGACGGCGGCGAGGACTCCGCCCCGGACAAACCGTCCCTTTTCAGTGAGGTTTTTTCCCTTAAGACTTCCTAGGACCTCAGCAGCATGAAACAGATCCAGTCAGAAACAAAGGGGACACCACCTGAAACAAACAACAATGCATAGGGAAGCAACAGTAGACAGGATGAAGCCGAGAATCAGACCAACGATTTGGAACATAAAGAAGCCGAAAAAAACAAACAAACAAACAAACAAAAAAAACAGTCAGAACAAGAAGAAAAAATAATCCCCCAAAAATGAGGACAGTGTCATGGCCGGTGTGGTTCAGGGGGACACCCTTGGATTCCCAGTCCGGGCATGTGCCTGGGCGCGGGCCAGGCTCCCAGCAGGGGGCGCCTGAGAGGCAGCCACAGGTTGATGTTCCTCTTCCTTTTCCCTCCCTTCCCCCCTCTCTAAAAAGAAGTAAATAAAATCTTAAAAAACAAAACAAAACAACGCAAACACACGAGAAGTTGTGTAAGCAGTCTCTGGGACAACTTCAAGATGTCCAACATTTGCCTCATAGGGGTGCCAGAAGGAGAGGAGAAAGCAAGAAATTGGAAATCTACTTGAAAAAATAGTGAAAGAAAAAACTTCCCTAATTTTTGGTGAAGGGAATAGACATGTAAATCCAGGAAGCACAGAGTCCCAAATAAAATGGACCCAAAGAGGCCCACATGAAGACTATCATAATTAAAATGCCAAAGGTTAAAGATAAAGAGAATCCTACAAGCAACAAGAGAAAAGAAGTTAGTTATCTGCAGGGGAATTTCCATAAGACTGTCAGCTGATTTCCCAAAAGAAACTTTGCAGGCTAGAAGGGACTGGCAAGCAATATTCGAAGTCATGAAAAGCAGGGACCTACAGCCAAGATTGCTCTACCCAGCACAGCTGCCATGCAGAACTGAAGGGCAGATAAGGAGCTTCTCAGACAAGGTGAAACTAAAGGAGCTCATCATCACCAAGCCACTATTATGTGAAATGTCCGCGGGACTTAAAAGAAGATCAAAACTATGAACGATAAAATGGAAAAATACGTATCTATTGATGGCTGAATCTAAAAAACAAACTAAGCAAACCAGAAGAACAGAGACGGAATCATGGACACAGGCAGCCTTCTGATGGGTGCCAGATGGGAGGGGGTGGAGGGGGGTGGGGGAAGAGACGGAGGGGGGCGGCGGTAAGCAGTACAAACAGGTGGTCAGAGGACAGCCAGGGGGACGTGAAGCGCAGCACAAGAAAAGGAGCAGCCGGAGAACTCACACATATGACCCGTGGACATGAACAGTGTGTGTGTGTGTGTGTGTCGGGGGGGGGGGCTACCTGAGGGAGTGGGGCTACTGGGGGAGGTGGGCAAAGGGGGAAAATGAGGACAACTCTAACAGCATAAGCAATAAAATATAATTTAAAAACAAAGACTTCCTTTACTCAGGTTTCTTGGCAAACACAATTCTAAGTCCTATAAAGCCAAGTTGTTATTGTTTAAGATGTCATACTAGGGTGCCTTACACGATTAGCACTTAACACATTAAGTGGAGCGGGAAGAGGGGAGGGTTGCTGGAGAACGAGCAGCGACCCCGTGTGCCCACGGGGAGACCGGTACCTCCTTCCTGCTCTCTTTGCTCTGGTCGGCCTCGAGGTCCACGGGGTTGCTTCCGTTCGCTTCTTCTAGTTCGTCCTCGCTGGAAGAGAAGTTACCCAATGTTTCTTTGTATTAACTTTATCTAATATATAAATATAAGCAGTAAATTGATTTAACAACAGGTTTAATGCAAAATTATTATGTTTTCAGACTGCTGAGATAAAACCATTTTTACAATTCAAATAAAATACCAATTCCGTAGTTCTTTGCGTGTAAATGACTAAGCTCAACGATTAAAACAGGCGTCTACCCCCCAGACTAGGCCCAGAGACGCACCTGAGACACTGTCCGAGAGTCAAGTCCCTGCACCGGAACCAGCTCCCTGCGAGCCAGATGCCCACCTGCCCCTCGGGACCACCCAAGTCTGGGCAGGGCAACAGCTCTGTGGGGGCAGGGACCACGGGCATTTTAAACTGGGTCTATCTCAAAAAGGACACTCACACTGACATGGTGTTTTCGCTCATATCCTTCTGGGCAGTATTTGGAATTAAAGCCAAAGACACCAGCTCTGCGGCAGGCGAGAGCGGCACGACAAGTGAGCACACGGGCCCTGCGGTCCGCCCAGCCGGCCGCAGCGGAGGCCAGCCGAGCGGCAGTGCCAGCGCTCCGTCCCGGCGTCCACGTCCCTCCCGGGCTGAGGAGCCCACCCCAGTGACCGTGCCCACTGCTCCCCGCTTCTCCCCGCCCCCCCCGCCCCCTCGAGGTGGTCCAAGTTCTGGCCGAGGAATGAGTGTGCAAGAGAAGAAACAGCCCTGCATGACGACCCCCGGCAGGGCCCTCCTGTCCTCACGGAGGGGGCAGCGACCGCCTGGGCTGCCGGGTCCCACGCGGCACAACAGACCCCACCCCCCTTCTGAATGAGCTTCTGGTTTCAGCGGAGCAGACTGCATCTGTTTGCAGGGACAAACGTCCCCCACCCCCAGTGAACAAGACCTGACGCACAGCGGAAACGCAGCATCTTAATCCAAAGTTGCTGCGACGCGAAAAACCAATCCGCTCAGCAGGTTCGCCACGTCTCTTCGGGCGCCGAGAGCACCGACCCGCCGGCACGTGTGCCGGAGACCAGACACCACGCAGCCGCGTCCGGGTGCTGCGCTCTCGTCCTACTCGGGCCCAGAGGCCTGCGCTCTGCAAGCGCGGTCCTCAGCCCTCAGTCCGCCCCGCGTTACTCTCTTCTACTTGAAATCATAAAAGTCTTCTGAGATGGGGCCAAATCGTCACCAATTTATAAAAACACCGTATTGCAGAGAGTGTGGAAAATGTGATTTTTGACAGCCACCCACACTGCACCGACCTAACACGAAGGGCTCACGTGGCGCGCCGGCCTCTTACCCACAGGTGCCCCCCACTGCGGAGCCGAGGGCCGGGCGGGGAGGGGCGCGGAGCGGAGCCTGGCCCCCGAGTGTGCGCCCAGCCTGTCCGCTGGGGCCCGAGCCTCCTTCTGGGGGTAAGCCCACAGCCGTCCCCAGGGCGTGGTGCTCAGCCCAGAGGGCTGCAGACACGGCGACAAGGATGCGTCCTTGCGCTCCGCCAGCCTGACGCCCAGCACGTCCCACGGCCCCAGGACGTGTTTCTCACGCACGTGCACGCGTGCGAGCACACACTCGCACACACTCTCTCTCTCTCTCACACACACACGCACGCGCGCGCGGTCAGCCGGCCAGAAAGGGAAGAAGGAAACCGGAACTACGGCGGCACCCTGAACACCAAACATGAAAACATGTCGAATGAACCCAGACAGGCACCCCAAGTAAATTTCAACCTAGGAAACAAGATCCCTTTTGTTTACAGACGACACCCTTGAAGGGCACGAGAGAACCTCTGGGAAAGTCCGTGCCCTCAAAACGGAAGCTCACAGACCGCAGGGAGAGCGGCGAGAAAAAGTGCGTGGGACCCGGCCCCGCGGCAGCCGCACAGCTCACTGACAGCAGGTGAAGGACGCTCGTGTGAGTCTGGCTCGAATGTCCTCCCGCCACTGCTTCTCCCTGCTGGGTGTGCACCAGCTCACAGAATTCTAGCAACTGAGCGTGTCCCCGAGCGGGGACCGCGCCCCTGGGCACCACTGACCTCTCCTCCCGCTCGCGCTTCTGCTTGCGAGCGTGGCGGTCCATCACGCTGGTCTTAGTCCTCGTCTTCTTCCAAGAGTAGTAGAATTTCACCAGACTTGCTATGGACTTGTCAGGGAGCTGAGCAAAAACATGAGCGGCTTTAGACTTAAAGCTGGCCTTCCAGAGTCAGGTGAGCTTAGATACGCTTAACTAGGGTCACTCTCGCATACTCAGGCGTGTCCGAAGTCGCCCTCCCCAGCAAGGAAAACAACTTATGAAGGGATGCTCATCCATTCTCGCCTTCGAATGGCTAAGGGTGAGTGCAGGTGAAGCTCAGCCCACGAGAGAGGGTGAAGCCAGGTGAAGAGGGGTCAGGGTTTGCACACAGCTCAAGCTTCCAACAGAACTTTGGGATTATCTTTAAAACTTCCGTATTTTTTACACTGTTACTTATGCAGCTGCTACACCGAAGACTCCATGTTCAAGGGCAGGAAAGGGCTGCAAAGTGGTTAGTTTACGCCTTTCTTGACACCACATTCACTAGTTTCCAAAAGTGAACGGGCAACACAAAGGCAACATAACAATTCCATTTTAGCACTAATGCAACTGTCAATAAGCGTTTGGGTAGGGCCCATCAAACAGCGCTCCAGAGTGTGAGAAAGAAACACACCTTTTCTGGGCAGGCAGGGCCCCATCTCATCAGATATCCACCCACGATCCTTTCCCCAGGCTAATCTTCTGGAGGGTCCCCTCCAGAGAGACAGGGTGGGGGTGGGGTCCCCGCCACCGAGCAAGGAAGTGCTAGGAAGTGCTTTACTGCTGTGACTTGCAGCTTCTCAGCCCCAGCGGCAAGCCGTGAGCCCGTTTTTCTAAAGGGAGTAGTCCTAAAAACGGGGGTGCTCGTGCTTGTGGGGCCAGCCCTGTCCCTTGGGGGTACGGCAGAGGAATGGGGTTGGGGGCGGGAATCAGCGGCCTCGTCTACTTACCATTTGTTGGATTCTATGGAAAGTCTTCCCATGAAAACTAAAGGCTTGCTCAAACAACACTTTATCCTCCACAGTCCACTCATCTGGGAAGGGGGTAAAGTTGGGCAAATCAGCCAATGACTTTTCAATATTATGTTTATGCCAAAAGAGCATCCCAAGAGCCTAGAAAAACAGTATCGGTGAAATTTTAGACCAAAGACGTGAATGAAACATGACAATGGAAATGACGGCCAGAGAGGGAAGTCATTTCGTTTCTGGCAAAAGGACAGTGTGAGTGTCTGTCTGCACACGCGGCTGTGCTGCTCAGTGGCGGTCCCAGCCAGGCTGCCTTGGGGCACTAACACGGTCACCCACAGCCCCAGGAGAGCAGGGCCTCTGTTCACACTTCTCAGGTGCCGACGCGCGGAGGCCCCGGGACAGTGAGTGGCTCGCCAGCGTGACGGTGCCAGGAAGTGGCTCTAGAACTGCACTCGGGCAGGGTCACCCCCTAATGCCTCTGCGCACGAGGGGAGGGGCCACGTGACAAAACCACGCAACGGCTTTGTTACTGCTTTGCTCCGATAACACAAATATTAAAAGTTTTTTTCCAGCTCAAAAAGAAAAACCATACAAATGCGCAAGGAACCAATTAGAAATGAGAGAGGTAACTCAGGATACTTTCCTGAGAAAATTCCTACGTTACAACTCGAAACTGAAAGTGATCCTACTTTTGAAAATCAAACTTCTTAAAAATTCATACAAGTATATTTAGCAATCAATCACCCAATAATAATTACACTTTCTAAACTGATAATTTTTCTGGGCAAGTCGATGAAGTTCATGAGCAGGGTTGGAAAAGGAGAAGCATATATTTTTTGCTTTGAAAGATTCTGGACTACTGAATATCTTATTGTAACTTTTTAAAACAGTTCTACCAGTGTAGAATAGCTACAAATAAGGCCAAGGCTGCAAGAAAGAGTCCAATTCTATATAATTTCAATTACTTGTGCCCTCAGTAATTGAAACTACCAGAATAAATGAAAAAACATTAGTAACTTATAGGTTGTAAAATCTAGATCAATGCCACGGAAAACAGGAATCCAACTCACTATGGTTACTTTTAAAAAGTATTTAGAATGAGGCTTACATAAGACAATCGCCACACTTGGGGGGAAAAATCTTGTGCATTTCCCCCGAACAGGCTCTAAACGATTGTTAAAAGAAAGCCTTAGTCAATTTTTACAACCTGAAAGTGACTCAAAACAATGTTAAAACACTACAGGTCTGAGTGTGACAGCAGGAGTCAGGAGAAACCATCTCACACCCACAAAAATGACAGGCCACACACTCCACGGGGGTGGGGGGAGGGGGGTGCTCCGCCCCAGGACCCGCACCTTGCCCGCCGAGGCCGCAGCCGCACGGAGGGTCCTCCCGCAGCCCCCTGGGGCAGTGAAGAGGGACCAGAGCCCAGTTGGATGCTGCTAGCAACCCCCAAAACTGCTGACGGGGAAACACTGCTACTCCACACACAGAATTAAAAAATGTCAGCAGGTTACCTCTAAAAACCCATTTTTAACAACAGGAAAGCAGTCATTACCTGTTCCATGTTGTACCCGTGCTTCTCCTTCGCGATGGCGATGTACTCGTCCACTGAAAAACAAGACAGGGGCCGTGAGCACACCCAGGGCGGCGCCGTCCCTGAGCACTGGTGCGCCGGCCGAGCACCCACGGCACAGGCGGCGCGGAAGAGCGCTGATACAGCCCCGCTCGGAACCCTACACATTAGTCCCACAGGGAACCGGCAGACAGCATACTCAACGATTATCAGCACTTATCACTAGATGGCAAGATGATAATTCTTTCTTTAAAAAATGTGGTTCTACTTGGTTTCTATGATAAATATTTCTGTGATATACTGAAAAGTACTTAGAAATAAAGAGAAATACTAAAATTGGGTTCATTTCTAGTCTTAGCCAAGGCTGAAAATCAAGGAACCTATTGCTTTATTTTTAAAAAAATCTAAGATAGCCCTGGCTGGTGTGGCTCAGTGGATTGAGTGCCAGCCTGTGAACCAGGAGACGGCTGGTTCAATCCCCTGCTGGGGCACATGCCTGGGTTGCAGGCCGAGTCCCCAGTGGAGGGCGCATGAAAGGCATCCACACATTGATGTTTCTCTCCCTCTCTTTCTCCCACCCTTCCCCTCTAAAAATAAATGAATAAAATCTTAAAAAAAAAAAATAACACAACCTAAGATAAATGATGTGAACCAATGTGTGGTATTTGCTCTCAAGCACTAAGGAAACAGCAGGGAATCTGTTGGGTTCTCAGAAGCAGCCACCGCCAGAGAAGAACCTAGAAAAATTAGAGACTACCAGTGGATGGCACTTCTTTATACTCACGTATGACTTCTCCATATAAATGACAAAGACAGCATGAGCTCAAAAACAGCCAGTAGCACAGAACTGTGTGCGACGAGAGTGCAGGCCCACAGCCCCGCCCCCCGCCCCCAGCCCCTGCCCACGAGGACATGGGCTCCCAGCGCTCTGCCGCCCAGCCTCAGACGGCCAGCGAGGGCAGTGGCCGCAGAGGCTCAGCGTGCCCCCCCATGAGCCCACCTCCGTCGTTCCTAGCTGTGGTGTAACGAATGACCAAGTCAGGAAAGGGAAATCAGTTCTGAAAAGTAATTCAGACCCTTCTATTAGCATGTATTGCAATGCTACGGAAAATTTTTCCATTGATGGAGGGAAAACTCAACTCAGTCACTGTCGCAACACGGAGGCATTCATTTTCCACTCTCTTCTCCAACATTCAAGTGCAGACTAACTGCTTACGTTGTTCAAAACACAGAAAAATTCCAGTGCGCCTGAGAGTCAGTGAAGGACATACCGCATGGCTTTAAAACGAAAGGGTTTTAAGGATGAGGAAGAAAATTACTCCCGAGTGTGTCCTTTGCTTCTCACTTCACAGGAGGGTGGGGGATGCCAAACACACGTGTCCCGAGGTGCTAAGAAAGGGCTCCTGTGAGCGAGGCTGCACATCTGGCCGGAGCTCTGGGGAGGGGCTGGGCACGGCGTTCACAAGGACAGGACCTGGATGCCAGCGGCAGCCTGGACGCGGGGGTGGACGCGGGGGTGGACACGGGTCAGATGGTGCGAACGAGGTAGCGGGCGGCGGCGAGTGCTCCGTGCAGAGTACGGAAGGGCAGGGGAGCAACGGCGGACAAAGAACGGAGGGTCGGCCGCAGAGGCTCTGCTTCGGGGGTCTCTCTTTGAACACCGGCGCGGTGGGCATTCGCCAACGACCGCAGCTCCCACCGTGCAGTCTCCATGCTGCGAGCGCGCCGTGCCCAGACGCGAGCACCCGCCTGAGCCGCGGGACGGACGGTGTGCGGGGTGTGCGGTCGCAGCGGGTCGCGTGCTGTCCAGCACGCGGCCACCCCGGCTGCCTGCGTGCTGCCCGCCACGCGCGGGCGGCACCTCTGCTGGGCCCACTCCGCCGCCGCAGGAACCCCACTCGCTCGTGAAGCCTGTCCCTGCCGCTGCCCACCATGACGAGCTAAAAAATCCAGCCGGAAATTCGGGGAAACAGAAGTATTCTTTGAATGTGCTCTATTTTCATCTACTTTTTTTTTGTTTGTTTGTTTGTTTTTACATAAAAATGAGCTGGCGGTAGGAGCAGTAGAACAGACTAAAACCCTGGGTCCTGACTGCTGCCGCTGGGGTCGGAAGCAGCGTCCGCCAGGTGCAGGCAGCAAGCAGCCCCCGCGGGGTGGCGCGTCAGAGCACACACCTGCTAGGTTCTCCTGAAGACCGCCCTGGGGGCTCCAGCCTGAAGTGCAGGAAGAAAGAACTCTACCACACTACTTAGCTCAGGTCCCTTGGAACGCCCACCAGGTCCTTGGTGGGGTGAGGGGGTAAGTTAATACACAGGGGGCCTGGCAACTTGAGAGAGAATCAGCATCTGATACCACCAGCAAAAACACAACTTTTCACTGCCCCCAGTGTGCAGCAAACATCAGACAAACACTTGCTGACTGAATGCTGAGGTGCTGTGTCATGCACAATGTCAGTATTTTAGGTCTTTTTCCAGCAAGTTCAAAGGCAGCAGAGATTAGGTCTGCGGTGAGACAGACCCAGGTCAAATCCTGCCTGTCTCCTGATGGACACGTTCATGGGCAGTGGTGCCTGGCACTTACTAAATAAGCACTTGCATTTAAGACCGTGTTTCCTTTAGCAGATCCTTAACCTTCCCAGGAAGCAGTTCCCACCAGGAGCCAGTGTCGAAGCGACACCCCAGCAGGAACCCCCTCCGCCTCCTCCTCCCACAGTGTTTAGGACCAGAGCAGACTCAGAGGGACTCAGGGGACACAGCTGAGGGCACCAACAACGCTCCAGACCAGCCTCCGGACAAGCCTCGTCTCGCCCCGCCTTCCTACCCTGTCTGGGCCTGAGCTCTTCCTCCCTTTGATAACCAGGGGACGGGGCTGTGCACCACCGCCTCTGGAGTCCCTGTGCCTGTCCCCCAGCTCCCTTCTCCTGTACAGAGCATGCCCGCAGCTGCTGGTGAGAAACGAGAAACACCAAAGTGTGAATTTTTCAAAACCTCCCATGTGGTTTCCTTAAGCAAAACTAAGCTTTCAACCTAAGAAAACATAGTCCACTCTCAACTGCCCTAATAAAACCAAAGGGTGCTTAGCGTGGTGGATAAAAGACAAAATGGAAAGGAACACGAGGAAGACCAGCTACCAGAAACAAACTGGTCTGAGACAAAGAAAACAAGAATCTTTGGGGGCTTGACTAGCACCTTCCTGTCTCCGGCAACAACAATCTTGATCGCGACTCTGAAAGATGGAAGGTTAACCAGAGTCCACCCCGGCCAGGGGCACGGAGACGCTGCGGGCAGAGAGCCACGGAGGAAGGTGCGGTCGGGGCGGTGAGCGAAGTCCATCTGGCCTGAGGAACCGCCGGGCCATCTCCACGGGCCTGGCCCTCCGCGCCCAGCCGCGCCCCCCAGGGCTCAGGGACAGCACCAGGGAGTCGTCCGGGGGCAGGGAGCAGACCTGCCTTGTGCAGCCTAGCGGACACCCTAGGTGTCCGTCAGAGGCAGAAGAGTCAGAGTGAAGTGCAGTCCGCTTTAAAAGCAGTCTGTCACTGCATAGTGCACTTTTCTTTTTTTTTTTTAAGATTTTATTTTTAGAGAGAGGAAGGAAGGGAGAAAGAGAGGGAGAGAAACATCAGTGTGTGGTTGCCTCCTGCGTGCCCCCTACAGGGGACCTGGCCCGCTACCCAGGCGTGTGCCCTGACTGGGAATCGAACCAGCGACCCTTTGGTTCACAGGCCGGCGCTCAATCCATTGAGCCACACCAGCTAGGGCAATGCACTATTTTTTAAAACTTGAAAATTCCTGAGGAAATCACCAAGGAAAACTCTTCCAAACTTAAATTATGATGGGCAAAGATATACATGACTCTGATTCTTTAAAAATACAGTAACTATACAAATCACTTACTTTTTTGACAAGAACTTACTATGGAAAGCACAGGTGAGTGAGTTATGTTTTCAGAGTAACATCAAATACAGGTAGAGTGTGTACAAGATTCATCAAGAAAATTTACAAAATAGCCCTGGCTGGTGTGGCTCGGTGGACTGAACACCAGCATGAGAACCAAAGGGTTGCTGGTTCGATTCCCAGTCAGGGCACATGCCTGGGTTGCAAGCCAGGTCCCCAGTTGGTGGGCATGTGAGAGGCAACCACACATTGATGCTTCTCTCCCTCTTTCTCCCTCCCTTCCCCTCTCTTTAAGGATAAATAAATAAAATCTTTTTTTAAAAAAGAAAAGAAAATTTACAATATAGTCAACAATATCGTAACTCGGTATGATGCCAGGTGGCTACTGGAAATACCAGGGAGATCACTTTGTAAAGCATATGACTGTCGAACCACTAGGCTGTACTCCAGAAACTAATATAAAATAATACCAAATGTAAACTGTAACTGAAAAATGAAATTAAAAAAGGAAAATTCACAAAATTCCTTAAAGCACAATCAAGCATTTAATGAGCTCCCCTTACTATATGAAACAGAATGCTGTTTCAGCTAGCAGGCCAAAATACAAAAGAAAGATGAATTGATTCCCTCCAGTAACTTGAAACAATACAGAGATAACAGAAGAGAATATGTAAGTCCATAAAATAACAATACAGATGTAGGAGAGTAAGAGAATACAAAATAATCAGCAAATGATGATGATGATGAATCAAGAAAAGCTCCCTAAAGATTCAACAGCTATGCTGATTAAGTAACAGCAGCAGCAAACATTTGGGAGTTCTTGTGCCAGCCCACGTTCTAAGCCCTTCACAAGGGTCATCTTTTTAAGCCTTTCCAGTAACTCTACCATACTCTTACTCACAAATGCAGCGACAGGCCCCGAGAAGGTGGCCTGGCCAGGGCCACACGGCGGGAGAGCAGCAGGAGCAGAGCCCACAGACACCTAGACCGCCGGCCGCCAGGGCCTGGGGCCCCAGGGCCCATTCACTCACCACTGCCTCTCTCCTGAGCAGAGGAAGGGGGGGGGGGGGCGCGGCGCCTCTGTAAGAACAGCGTCCGCGGCACGGAGACCCGAGCAGAGCGAATCAAGGGAGCCAGGGAGC